CTATATCCAGTATCCTATGATAAACCATAATGGAAAAGAATATAAAAATAAGAATGTGTGGGGACTTCCCTGGTGCTGCGGTGCTTAAGACTCCACCTGCCAATGCAGGGGACACGGTTTGAGCCCTGGTCTGGGAAGATCCCACATGCCGTGGAGCAACTAAGCCCATGCGCCACAACTACTGAGCCTGCGCTCTAGAGCCCGCGAGCCACAACTACTGAGCCCTCATGCCACAGCTACTAAAGCCTGCGTGCCTAGAGCCTGTGCTCCACAACAAGAGAAGCCACCGCAATGAGAAGCCCGCGCACAGCAACGAAGACCCAACGCAGCCAAAACTAAATAAATAAACTTAAAAAAAAGGAAAGAAATGAAGGTGCTAAAAAAAGTGTATAACTGAATCACTTTGCTGTACAGCAGAAATTAACACAACATTGTAAATCAACTATACTTCAAAAAACATAATTTTAAAGTCAATAAAATCACAGAAAAGGATAAATAAATAAATGGGCAGAAGATCTGAATAGACATTTTACCAAAGATGACAAACAGATGGCCAACAGGTACAAGAAAAGATGCTCAACGTCACTAATCATCATGGAAATGCAAATTGCGACAAAAGTGAAACATTACCTCATACCTGTTGAGAATGGCTATTATAAAAAAGACAAGAAATAAATAATTTTGGTGAGGATGGCAAGTACAGGAAACCCTCAAGCACTGCGGGTAAGGATGTATTAATAAACTGGTACAGCTACTATGGAAAACACTTTGGAGGTTCCTCAAAAAGTTAAAAATAGAACTGCCATATGATCTAGCAGTTTCACTTCTGGGTATTCATCCTAAGGAAACAAAAACACTAATTCGAACAGGTATCTGCATCACCGTGTTCAACGCAGCATTATTTACAACAGTCAAGATATAGAAACAACCTAAGTTATTCCATCATAAAAAAAGAGAATCTTGACAGTAGGGACACCTTGGATGCATCCCCAGGGCATCATACTGAGTGAAATAAGTCAAACAAAGACAAATACCATATGATCTCACTTACACGTGGAATCTAAAAAAACAGAAGCAAAATAGTAAAAACCCAAGCTCACAGATACAGAGAACAAGCTGGTGGCTGCCCACCCAGAGGCAGGGTGTGTGGAGTGAGCAAAATGGATGGAGGGGGTCAAGAGGTTACAAAGACATTTAGTTATGTACAGCACTGTGACTATAGTTAGTGATACTGTATTGCATATCTGAAAGTTACTAAGAGAGTAGGCGTTAAACATTCTCATCACAAAAAATTCTGTAACTTGTATGATGATGGATGTTAACTACACTTATTGTGGTGATCATTTCACAACATATACAAATATTGAATCACGAAGTTGTATACTCAAAGCTAACATACCGTTACATGCAAAGTATACCTCAATTTTTTTAAAAAAGGGAAAAACTCAATCTAAACCTTGCACTTTATACAAAAATTAACTCAAAACGAATCACAAACTTAAAAGTAAACCATAAAACCATGAATCTTTTAGAAGAAAACAGAGAAAAAATACTCAAGACCTAAGGCTTTGTGAAGAATTCTTAAACATGTCTCCAAAAGCATAGTGTATAAAAGAAAAAATAATCAATAAATTGGACTCTATCAAAATTCAAAACTTTTTCTTTGGAAAAGGTATTTTTAAGATGATGAAAGAATCACTACACAGAGTAGGTCCCCCTAGCCTTGGTGTCCAGAGTTTTTATTGGGCCTCCATTAATGATTGATTGATTGATTGATTGACTGATGGCCCACATAGCAATCTCAGTCTCCATGTCAGGAGGGGGCGTGTCTTGATGTGCTGATGGCCAAAAGCACAGCAGGGGGCGGCGGGCAGGGGGAGGCTACCTCGTGGCTGGTTACCTGCCCAGGAGAACTGAAAGCATGCATCCACACAAAAACGTGCCCATGACACTGCATGACCCAAAGCCCCTGCCCTAAGTCACAACGTTGGTCTTTCCGGCCCCACCAACCTCCATCCTGTGACTCTCTGGTGAGGCTTCAGCCTAAGATCCAGTGTGGGCAGCCCCCAACCTAACCAAAGACACTCCTCTCAGGCATGACACAGATCACCTCCCAGAAGCCAAGGGCAAAAAGCCAGACCTCTCTTGGGCAAGGCCAAGTTCTTTCCTACACACCATGAAGTTCACTCTTTTGAAGTGTACAATTCCTGCCATTTGAGGAGAGCATCCTAGGAACTTGTCGGCAAACCCTGGGGGCTTTTGCAGAATGCACTCACCATTCTGTCTCTAGAATCGATTGTTGCTCTGACCTACAGATCCCAGACTTGAGCTGCAACACGCCCCAGCTCTAGCCAGCCCCGCGTGCTTCATACCGGCTCCCAGAGTCTTAACTGGAAAGAGCCAATTCCTTAACATTCATCCTGTTGCTGTTTGCCCCAGATTCGGTGGTTTCTGTAGACGGACAGACTCCTTGGTTTGCTGAAAGTCAAGGGGAGATTCTGACAGCAGCCAAGGGCCTCTGTTCAGTCCTCAACGGGCTTTTCCTCCAGGTGCTGGGCTTGTCCCTATACTTAACGCCACTCAATGTACAAAGGTATATAGAGTTATGGCACCCCTAGATTTTCTCTAATTGTTTAATATACTGTACAGTGTTTAATACATTGCACCCTTAAAGCTGTCTGTCCACCTTTATTTCAAAAATCTAAACACAGGGCCAGCATATACTTCAGTATTTGATGGTAAAATTTAAATTAGAATAAAATAGTATCCCCCCCCCAAAATAAGTGTACAATTCAGCGGTTTTAGTGTACTCCCAATGTTGTGCAACCACAAACACTGCCTAATCCTAGAACATTTTCACCACTCCCCACGTCTCCTGCATCCCTCCTCTCAGACCTTGGAAACCACTGATCTATCTCTATGGACTTGACTATTCTAGACATTTCATATGAATGGAATCATATAATAGGTAGCCTTTTATATCTGGCTCCTTTTATTAGCATAAAATTTAAATTTATTTATTTTTGGCTGCGGTGGGTCTTTGTTGCTGCACGCTGGCTTTCTCTAGTTGCAGCACACTGGCTTTCTCTAGTCGCAGCGCGCGGGGTCTACTCTTCTGTGTGGTGTGCGGGCTTCTCACTGTGGTGGCTTCTCTTGTTGCGGAGCACGGGCTCTAGGCGTGCGGGCTTCAGTAGTTGTGGTGCACGGGGTAAGCTGCTGTGCGACATGTGGGATCTTCCTGGACCAGGGATTGAACCCACGTCCCCTGCACTGACAGGCAGATTCACTGTGCCACCAGGGAAGTCCCTATTAGCATAATTTTTAATTGAGGCATAGTTGATTACAATATTAATTTTAGGTGTACAACACAGTGATTCAAAATTTTTACAGATTATGCTCCATTTATAGTTACTACAAAACATTGTACTGTGCTGTACAATAGATCTTTGTAGCTTATTTATTTTACATGCAATAGTCTGTACCTATTCCTCCCCTACCCCTATCTTGCCCCTCCCCCCTTCCCTCTCTCCACTGGTAACCACTAGTTTGTCCTCTCTGTGAGTCTGTTTCTTTTTTGTCGTATTCACTAGTTTATTTTTCAGATCCCACACGTGGCTGATAACATACAGTGTTTGTCTTCCTCTGTCTGACATATTTCACTTAGCACAATGCCCTCCAGGTCACTTAGCATAATGAGTTTTTGTTTGTTTGTTTTGGTTGAGCCACGTCTCAGTTGAGGCAGGCGGGCTCCTTAGTTGCAGCTCGCAGGCTCCTTAGTTGTGGCTCACGGGCTCCTCAGCTGTGGTACGTGAACTCTTAGTTGCGGCATGCATGAGGGATCTAGTTCCCGGACCACGGATCAAACCCGGGCCCTCTGCATCGGGAGCATGAGTCTTACTGTGCCACCGGGGAAGTCCCCTAGCATGTTTTTAAGGCTCATCCGTGTTGAAGTGTCTGCATCAATACTTCATTCCTTTTTGGTGGCTGAGTATTATTCCACGGTATGGACGTTTTGTTCATCAGCTGATGGACATCTGAGTTGTTTCACTTTATGATTATTATAAATAATGCGCACGTTTTTGTGTGGATGCATGCTTTCAGTTCTCCTGGGAGAATAACCAGCCACGAGGCGGCCTCCCCGCCTCCCCTGCCCCCGTGCTCTTGGCCATCAGCACATCAAGACAGCGCCGACCCCCCCGGGTGGACAGAGTCAACATCCGGACACCCTGCTGTTGTCAGCATCTGAGTCATGGGGCATCTGAGCTCTGAGAACAGATAGGGGGGCCTCCAGAGTAGAGAAGGAAGGCCCTATTGATCCAAACTAGCATAGCTGCAAATCATGAAAGAAAAAGAGAGTTACCCCATCACCAAAAAGAAAGGACAGAAGGACCACGAGGGGCCACCTGCTGCGGCGCAGAAGGGGACACTTCCGTTGCCTCTGCAACATCTCCAGGGGGCGGCCATCGGGGGCGCCTGGGCCTCCAGGGAAGGGGACTTCTGCAGCATAAGCAGCCCTCCAGCCTCACAATAATCCGCCCTGTCTCCCTCGGGACGAGCTGACGTCTGTGTCCTTGTGGTGTCCCTCTCAGGGCCGTGCAGAACACTCTGCTCCCCGCTGGCCGGGGGGCCGCCCCGGGAGTGTGAAGGCAGGACCCAGTTTCCTGAACCAGCCTCCCTTCCATATACCCCTGAAGTCTTTGCTTCAACCAAAGGCAAGCGGCTCTCCCAGTTGCTGAGCTCTGGGAAGTGCCTTATACGAACCCCGAGAGGCACCGAATCAACAGGTCCCTCCCACAGTCGGCGTCACGGAACCTGAGCTTGGCCACCCCTCCCCACCCAGAAACGGGCGACCTACAGCGGCTCTCCCAGTTGCTGAGCTCTGGGAAGTGCCTTATACGAACCCCGAGAGGCACCGAATCAACAGGTCCCTCCCACAGTCGGCGTCACGGAACCTGAGCTTGGCCACCCCTCCCCACCCAGAAACGCGGCGACCTACCTACCGGCTCTGGTGGCTCTCCCACAGCCGCCTCAGGCCCCGGTCGGCCAAGCCCTCCAGGATGAGGAGGTGGCCCCGCCCGTCCAGCAGGTGGAAGCCGGTGAGCACGTCCAGGTCCAGCCGCTCCCGGATCTTCGCCGGCATCTTCAAGGTGGACAGGATCTGCTGCATGTCCTCCACGGGGCAGGAGTCCAGGCCCAGGGCCCCGGCGTTGATCACGGTGACGTCCTGCAGGAGGCCGTGCAGGAGCGAGAGCTTACTGGAGGTGAACACGAAGATGACGCGGCCAAACCGGGAGGCCGTGGGGTTGGCGTCCAGGGCCTCGGTCCCGGCCCGCAGCGGCACCGCCACGCCCACCCGCAGCTTCAGCAGGCAGCTGGCCTCCAGGTAGTTGCCCGGGGGCATCGGGCCGCGCTGCAGGCCGTCTCCGGGCACCCGCGACCCCACCACCTTCCTGCTCCTGCTGTCATGGCCGAGGCGCATGGCCTTGGGCTCGCAGCTGTGGACGGGGACGACCAGGGTCAAGTACTTGTGGCCAAGGAGGAGGTCGGCAAAGCTGACCTGGGCAACCCCGTAAGGGTCCCACATCTTATCCTGGGTTTCAAAGGGGTTGTTCTCCGTCTCTTTCGGGGAAATTAGGGTCTGGAGGTTGAGGTACGGATCCAGCGGGTCCTCCCCAAACAGGGCGGGCTTGCAGGAACACCCCTCTGACTTGCGGTCCCGGTCATGAACTTCCACCACCATCGGGGGGCCCTCCAGGTACTCCCTCAGGTCGCTGGGGTGCATGGCCCCAAGGAAGATGACGTTGATATCCTGGAAGTAGGCGTGGGCCCCATGGCGCTGGCCCTCAGTCCTGTGCACTGGGGTCCTGTGGAACTGGTACCTGCAGGACACGGGGGTGCACAGCCGCTGCGAGAGAGCAGGGGCGGCGGTCACGGGTGCAGCCGCGGGCACCCCCTGCCGGCCCCCCTCCCCTCCAGGTGGCCCCCACCCAGCGGCTCAAATCCTGGCCCCAGGCTCACCCCCGGCAGCCCCTGCAGCCCCTGTGGTTCCTCATTCACAAACCCCAAGGACAGAGCCCACTCTGCAAGGCCACTGCGAGGCCCGAGAGCCACGTGTACGGCGCTGAGCTGGCAGCTGAAGCAACTATTTCCCCCGGATGGCCGGTGCCACGAGGACAGGCCCTGTGCCTTCCTCCCGTCCCATGGCCGGGCCCAGAAAGTGTGGAGAGGAGTGGCTTTTAGAACAGAGAATCCGTGTTTCCCAGACGCGCATCTGGAGGGCTGGCACGGCTCACCTTTAGCATATAAAGTGACCAAGCAGAACCTGGCTCTGGGTTTAAGAGGACTCGCAGGCTGAGCTGGAGGGAGGGGGCAGGGCTGTGTCGGGACAGAAACAGGAAACCTTGCGCATGCTACAACTTTATCATCAGAAGCTCACCATTACACAAGTGTGTGGTCCGAATGCATACTCCAAGGGTACTATTTATTTTACTATTTCTTTTACCACTGATGCTGAAATTTTATTTAAAAATAATCCTGGGTTGGTAGGGCTCCCAGGTACCTGGCAGAAATAATTAAGAAAACCTTCTGGAGAAATCCACTTCCAACCTAGGCCTCAAAGAATTCCCACAGAGAAAGTTCCATCAAACATGAGATCATAGTAAAAATCACCAAAAACCTAAGGGAAAAAGGTACCACTAGCAAAACCAGATGTACAAAGGCACAGGTATTAGGATGATCAGGTACATAAAATAAATCTATTTGCTCGGTTTTTAAAAAGTAAAAGTATATCATCAAGGTCAAAACTATCGTAATTCTATTTACTAGCAATAAAAATTCTAAAACTGAAAATTTTAAAATATCACCTACAGGGCTTCCCTGGTGGCGCAGTGGTTGGGGGTCCGCCTGCCGATGTGGGGGACGCGGGTTCATGCCCCGGTCCGGGGGGATCCCGCGTGCCGCAGAGCGGCTGGGCGCGTGGGCCGTGGCCGCTGGGCCTGCGCGTCCGGAGCCTGTGCTCCGCAACGGGAGAGGCCACAGCGGTGGGAGGCCCGCGTACCGCAAAAAA